CATCCAAAAAAAAAAAAAAAAGAAAGAAACGGGAAGGACTGGTTGTTTTTTCGGTAGAGTGAAACCTTTAACTTCCTGCACTTGGCACCCAAAATTCGCATTTGCAGTTCGGACCAATCCCTGCATTTTCCTCCTCATTTTTTATTATCCTTTAACTTTACCACCCCTTCACCTTTAAAATCTATTTTCTTATACAAATTCACTTTATTTATTTATTTAATCAACATAACCGTCGTACTGACGAAGTCCAGTTTCGATGCTACATAGGAGTGGCTATGAATTCATGGATCGCAGCATTTCGTTCACTCAGTTTTTTGCTATTCACATTATTATCTTTTACTGCTATTTCTGATGCAAAACATTCGAACTTACTTTGTACTAAAAATACTTCTGTTACAAAAGAGAATTTTGCGAAGGTGTCGTGACTTTGATAATGCTTCTTCGATCATTAAGAAGCAGGAAGTGTTTCTGTTTTCAGATTGTTGAATTCGTTCTACAAATTTATGAGATTTCTGGATTTTCTCTATATCAGAAAGTGATGAAAAATTTAACGATATTTGCCATATTAATGGTACCACTAATAGTGCTCGGTCTGTATGGTAACGCAGCACTGGTCTATGCCACTATTAAATTCAAACATTTAAGGCATCGTAATGGAATTTTGGTGGCAATTTTGGCATTTTTAAATTTTGTAAAATTTTTTTTTTTTGTTTTCCATAAATGCAGTAGTTGTTGCGAGCTTAGAGGAAAATTTTTGACGATTTGTTAATCCAGCAACAATGTATGCATATTGAGCAAATCAACGGAATCACCAGCAGCTTGACCACCAGGCGATGTAGCACTAGACAAAGCAAGTGGAAAAGTTACCGGGTGCTTAGCTGGAAAATCAGATAGTGAATTACAGGTGATCGAGTTATAAAAGGTACAAATATGGAAATTTTTGGAAAATCAAAAATTTTAAGCAGGAAAATCAAAAATTTTAAGCTTGTGTTATGCAAAAATCGTTTTTTCACCTGCTTTCTGTTTTTCAGGTTATACTATGAAAACTGTGATTTTGAAACCGCATCATTTTATTCAATAATTAAAATAAAAAGAAATCGCATCACTTTATTCAATAATTAAAATATTTACCAAAATTTCCGAAAAAATGGCACACATACATCAGACAGACAGCGGATACTAACAAAAGAAATACAAAAGTAATATAAAAAGTGAAGTTGGTTTCCAGGCTCTGTAATTTGTAAAAAGGCACTTATCCTTCGATTTCTAAATCACCGTACTTGCAGTTCAATATTTTATGGGAATCGGAAGACGTCGTAAGAATATTCACTGGTCACGCTCAATTACCACGTCGATCTTGTTTTTACTCGATTGCTGCGTATTGTTTCATATTCACCGTTTCATGGATCGTTGTGATTTTTTTGGCCATTGATCGAGTAATCGCTGTATGGCTACCAATTAAGTTAGCTATAATACTGTTTATTAAAAATCATAAAGCCATCCAACTACCGATGTGGAGATCCCATGATGTGGTGATTTTACTGTAATGCTGTGCTCTACTGTATCAGTTTACAAAAATAATATACCCAGGCTGGAACGCACCAGATGTGCTGGTGCGGTCACATATTTTTGCACCAGACTTGAAGTACTCAGATCGTTAGGTGCACGAACGGTTGTTGCTTCAAACCTACCTTGTGCGCTCACTGCCGTAAATCATCATAAATTCGGCATAAAGAAAAGTGAACTATTTCCGTTTAGCGCTTGTTCTTTGAAACTGGTCTAACTGTTCAATGAGTAATTTTCCGCCAAAAATTTAAGTGCTGCACATGAGAACCACGCATACTCTGAGTTCCGAAACGTCTGGTCCAATTGCATTGTTCGTTCAGCCATTATGAGACACAAGCTTTGTGTGGTGCCTTTCAAAAAATAACACGGGGAAATAAGAGATTTTAGTTATTCAGATATCGCAATATTAAAGCGTCATATTTCATTGCGAGTTCTTTAGTGGCTGGATCTATTGTAGCAGCACCGTTAGTTACTGCAAATTTTATTGTTGTTGATCGTGAGGTGAGACAATTTTCGTCCTTTTTATGCATTTTGCACTGAACAAAATGATTCCAAAAAACTGGACAAAAATCGTGTTGTGGCACGAAAGGAGTACTATTTTTGCCCAGTTTTTGTCAACTCAGCAACCAGATAAGCTTGGATACTGAAATTTCAGGATGATTTATCCTGATAGTGTGTGACTTCTCTAATTTAAATTCAACTTTCGCGCACGTCTAGGCCTCACTTGCGAACAAGTGAGAATTTATCTACTAATTCAGGAACTAAAGAATCCATGACATTAATTGTTTTTGAGAAATTTCAAACTGAAACAAAACATATTTAGCCTGTGGAACCGTGCAATCCACCGCTGGCTTATCAGCCTGGAATATCGGTAATATGGAGGGCACTTTTCGTCCTTGCACTAATAATTATTCTTCTGCTCTACGCTGCTTGCTTATATGGGATGAAAAAACGAAGTTCCAACTTAACGATGTGTTAGTGTTTTTCTTTATTCAATAGCAGAACCCTAAAATTCTCTTGAACGAGTGAAAGCATTTGTTAATTCTTCTGGAACCGTACAACTGAGAATTTGATTAGTGTTATTTCACAGTCGAGTTTCTTTTCGCTACTAATGCGGCTAACAGCTTTTTC